AAATCTGCACACAACCAAAATTTCATGCCAAGTTTCTTAAAAACTCCAATTCTCGTACCATTTAAGTTCTGAAACATTTAAAGAATGAAAAATGTGAAATATTCTAATACACTGAGGTAATCTTAGAGTTATAAACACACACGTGTCTTACAAGGAAATTATTAAAGCATGCCCTACGAAAATCAGCCAATATTAGCAAGATGAGCAAACGAGAGCATAGGTAAACAGAATTATTTTTCAAAGTCATCGAAGAAGCGCTCGACTTTTCGTACACAGCACATTTGTTACATTTGCTTGTTAGATTCAGACTCAGAATGAATTCGCTGTTGAAACCTCTCGTTTGGTCTCTGTCGGTAATCGGGACCTTTTTCAGATCGGATGCAATGATTGAATGGTGTTGTCATTATGTATCACTGATTGTTTAGAAAAGACATTTCATTAAAATTCACCAAATGCGCAACTGTGTTTGTTTTCGACAAAACAGTGGTTGCTTCCAATAGCTTATGCAATGTCTATGAGCGATAAAAACCAGAAAAACGTGATTCAGCTCTCGTCATATAAGAAGTTGAGGAAGACCCACTGATCGGTCAGAATATCACAGCAACAACTTTTTTTTACAAGCTTGGTAAAATGTCATTTGGAGCAGTCTTTGCAGTATCCATCGCTGTTCATTTGTACTCAGCAGATGGTAAGTTCTCTTTTTGATTTAATTCTCGTCAATAAGTCAACATTCTGTATAGACGAGTCTTTCATACAATGTCAAAAAGAGCAAGTTAACTGCTTTGAATTTCTTTTGCGGCAAGGAAGCTTTCTTCGTTTAATGTCTTCCTTTGAGTATTTTTTTTTTCAGTAAATGCTGTACCTGCCGACTCAAATGTTCAGTTTATTGACTCATCATTACTGGCCGGATGAATAAATTTATACCGAGCCGAAATTGATTTAAATATTGTATTCTGTGTCAGAAAGTTGAAATCAGCTAAACGGTTTCACTCAGCAGTGAGGTTACTTTTGATCAATTTCATCTGGTTTTCCTTTTGTTGGTGGGACTTATCCTGTATAAAATCTGCCAAGGCCGCAATACAATGAAAGTGATTAATTGTGTCAATGATATTCGACAACATTCATTGTGAGAATAATTTTACAATGTCTTAATGACACTTGCTTTTCAGTTCATCGGTCGAACGGCTATTCAGTTTTGGAGTCATCTTTCATTTCTAAGTGTTAATTTGCAGGCGGTTGAGAGTAGTTAGGAAGTAAATAACGGCAGGGCATGCGTACGAAATGCTTTAAAAGTTCTGACAGAAACTATTGAAAACGCCACCGAAGTTAACATTGCCTTGTGGCAATACCGACTGCAAACACGTTTCATTTCAGTTATTCCAAGTCCTTCAAGCTATCAAACTGAATAACAAACTGACATTCGCTTGCCATACAATTGTACATCGCATTATTTAGCATTTTTGTAAATTAATTTCAGTTGTTTATACTCGCTTAAAGAATGTCAGTTTTTCATGAAATTCACGGAAATTGAAATTTTTACTTTCTGATTTCTAGGAGATGGTTCGTTGATAACTGGTAAAGTGTAACAGCAGGTTAGCTGTTAATATCGATTTCAGCAGCGTAGGTTCCCTTCTTGTGAAATCATTTATACGTGAAGAAAATATTAATTGCGTCTTTTTTCGTTTCTGTATTTTATGAAAATCACTATAGTCCTCTAGCCAATAATGATGCTTTAAAACTTGAACACAACAAAATTAATGTTCATCTATTAATGTTTCTGTCTGAACTATACTACGTGTAACAGTGTTCGTGGGTGGGATCAAATCAATCACGCAAGCGTCTTTCATTTGCAACAATGTCCTCTGCCAAACATTAAGTCCTTTTGTGCCCTTCACTTCTCAGAGATAAAGTTAAACAAAGAAAAATAATAAGTACGGATGTTTAAATCAACCAAAGGAGCTCCTTACGTCTGTCAAACGAACCCCTGCCTGTCTGAAAAACCAAAACATTAGCACTCTACTGGAGCGGTTAAAATTACAAATGAGGGTCATACAGCGAAACCTAATACGGCGAACCAATACTCTATGTAAAGACTCGAAGGAAATACAAATAGCTAGCCGGCGTAAAGCGCGGGTAAACGTCCTGCTTGAATGACCAAAGCAAAACACTAAATTCCAGTCCGGAAAGATGCGACAGAATATCAAACGCGGGGTGATTGCTTGTATTTTAATTATAAATCTACCACTGAGCGTTCTATCACGAATACCGTTCTCTTATTGGCCACGAAACCCTCTATCTATTTAAACAATAAATTGTTTCTGTTGAGGAACTATCAGCCGATAGTTGCCCAGCGGAAATTTGATGTTTCGTAAAACAAATATTTGCCTGAGAAGCAACGCGGCGTCGAGGCGAGCAAATATTCTAGTCTTAAGAACATCACGTTTCCAGGGGACAACTATCAGACCGATAGTTCGGAGACGTAAACACTCTATTTTCTTTACTGTTTACCACAAAATTTTCCTCTGCGTGCCGGTTCAAAAATCGTATTGAATTATTTTCAACTTTTGTAGATGAAAGTCGTGACAGCCAAATGAAAATGATTTGAAAAAGTAAACGGTAAAAACTTCGTCTGTCAATTTTTTTTTTCCATAAGCCCGCTTGTCTACAGAAACATATATTTTCATGCGCGACTCAGTATTGTTCACCCGGGTATTTTCTTCTGACGGGCACTATGGGCAGATAGTAGAGAGTTTAAGCACGACGTTTACGGCAGACGGCAAACGGCAAAGATTACCCCCGAATTTGTGTTCTTTTATTCTAATCCTTAACTAAATCACACAAAAAAAGGAAAAATGTGTCCTACTATTCACCGGAAATACAAATATTTTCACTCTACTGAATAGACAGCTGAATACAGACGGCAAAAGTTTCATTTTTGCCGTTTGCCGTTCGACGTAACGTCATGCTTAATCTCTCTAATGTCTCTCCGCCGATGAACATTATCGCATCATGTGTTCAATTTAAACCAATAAGAATCGGAGAAATATATCACCAAAGACGTCAAAATATATGGCAGGAAATCTCGTGCTTATTATCTTATTATTAAATATAGAACCATTCTGAATATCAGCCCTTGTCTAAGCCATAAATACCTCTAACTTTGCGACAGCACGCGTGGGAATTTAAACAATTTCTCTTGCTTATTCTCTCAAAAATCCCGGAAACAGATCTTAATCATTTTTCGGAATGAGTTACGTGGATACTTCACTGATTATTGTATTATTTCTCCTTGCTTTTTGTGATTCAAGTTTGTTGTTGAATAAGGTATAAGGCTCTAAATCCGACTTTGTCCAACACAACTTCTCTCACAAATAATTTCCCTCTACCGTATAATCTTAGCTCTACGTCTTCCAATTTTAACCCAATTTTCCTTCCCTCACAGTGGTGTCGGGAAGAGAATACAAGTTAACTGGAACAACCAATTTTCGCATTCAACGTGGAGAGGTCGTTACAGTAAAAGGTACAGTGACTGTGTGTTCTTTTGCTTTCGTCCAAATTTTTCTCACGACAATTAGGATGAGTTTTTGAACTGAGCAACGAGTTCTTGATTCAATTTATAGTAGTTTCTAATGAAAATAAAAATTCTTGACGCAAAAACACACAGCGTCCAATGCTACATGAAAAGGACTGCCTGCTTCCTCTTTCAATTAAAGTCTGAATTGCGCAAGGCTGATTACAACATTTTATGATCGAAAAATCATTGGATTGTGTAATATATTCGTAACCGGAAGTTGTGTTAAGCTGTTGTATTACCCAAGATGCTTAGAGAATAAAGTTGTTGTGTTGAGCAAGCCTAGTCAACTTGTGTTGTTATGTCACCGAGCCATACTTTTGCTAGTATGTTTCAGATTGGAAGCAAGCATATACTGGTTACTTTAAATAAGCAATAAATCTAAATCCGCTTAACGCTTAATACTAATCTTGGTCGTAATCTTCAGTTTAGCTTGTTCCAAGCTCTCGGTTTTTGTGGGCGAGGACAAACGGGTGTGAATGGAAACGAAGCAAGCACGAATGCGAGGTTGATCTGCCGAGTGACTGGACGAGGCCATCTTCAATTAAAAAATGAATCAATATGCTTTTTTCTCTATTGACTAGGTTACTACAAATACTGCCTTGCATCGACCAGTTGTCCCTCCTGTATTCGACAAGTTTACTTGAACCTGTTCGGCACAAGCCGATGCCTTGCGAGCATAGGAAAGTCGCAGCTAGACTGTAAGGAACATCACTTCACTCACGTATACACCGCTCCCAATACAGCGGGCTCCTATGGTATTAAGGTACTGATCTATGAACCAATCAAATCGAAGGGATAACAAACTTTCAAAACTTTTGGTTCTGGAAAGAGGTCTATACATATATACAATGTACAAGAGTAATTCTACCTTCCGTACTCTTCTCAACCTAGGAGTCTAGTAGTTGCTCTCGTAAGGCCTGCGGAATGAATGGCTTGATACCCTTTGAGACGACAATAGAACAAACAACAGAAACAATGCCTCTAGCCCCAAAACATTAACAGCTGCTACCAAGCAAAAGAATTACACGCTTTCGAGAGCTGCTACACCTCTGCTAACCTCTGAAAGAGGAGCATTACTGTAATTAAATATACCTTATTGTAGTGGATATTTCTTAATAAAATCTACATTTTACAGTTGGACTGGCCCGCGGATAGCTTTGCTAGTCTAGGCGGGGCAGTCTATCAATAGTTACAAATGATTTATTATTATTATTACTTTTATTACTATAATCGTATCTATAACAAAATTCTCGATCATAATTGGTTCTCCGCGCGCCTATTTGTCACGTAATCGGCGCGCGATCACGGCTTCATCAGCTTCCTTGGGCTTCCTTCGCAATGTTTTCTACAGTTTTCAAAGCTCATGAAAAGCGCTACAGACGTTTTCGTTAAATACGTACATGTTCTCAAAAGACATTTTTTATTCCGAAATTTGTTATAGATATGATTAATTAGTAATCGGACCTCGTGTCGTACAATTCAGGGAGTAACCGTGCTCGTATTTCAAATCGGCCTCGCGCTTCGCGCTCGTCCAATTTTGAAATTACTCGCGCGATTACTCCCTGAATTGTACTCCACTCGGTCCAATTACTATTACTTATAGAAAAATAGAAAGTTAGAAAAAAAAGTGAATAAAATATAAAGAAAAATTGGGAAAAGAATGTGATTTAATAGATAATATATTTTTGGTTGTCTGTTTGACTGTTGGTTGGGTCTTTTTTTTTGTAGTGTATTTTTAGGCCTCGTCCGCATTAGAGAACCTGGAAGATGACGAGTTTGCGCGCCGCTTCAATAGCTTTGCGTCCTCGCTACATTATTTGCAGTGTATTCAGCGTTCTCTTAAAACGCTCTAGAATGCTAATAGTCAACGAGAGTCACCACCACCGTGGTGAGGGCCTGGTATCGTATGGTACCTTGTTGTACATTGCTATATTATATAAACAATAAGTTATTGTGTTTTAAGATGCAGGAGGTGCTCGAATATAATTGTAACTCTAACTTCGTTTCAAGCAGTGGACTCCTTGTTGGCACAGTCTTGGTTCAAGGTTAGTTCACTTAAGATATCTGTACACTGTACACGTGATATCGGTGTCAAACAATAGATACGCAACGTTCTATCAAGTCGCGTTAAATTCACGAGATCTGAAAACACCTCATTGATGACTGCCAGAGCTTGTTTTGTAAGGTGAAAATTTTGGAATAAATGAGTGCGTAGCCATGAATTTTGACATATTACTTGCTACGATTGACACACATATATAGAACGTGACACAGACGTACCACAGATATTTTGGGAGGAAATAAGGATAATCCAAGCAATTCACAATTTTAATCCATGGAAGTAATCAAAGCTAAAACCGGGTTCATAGCAAATTGGGATTTGCCAAGTTAACAAGTTTACCAAACCGGAATTTCAACGCGTACGCCCTTTTAGGAAAGCACTTCGCTTACACACGTTTTCAACAGATTTATCCTGACAACACGTCTCCAAGGCGCGTGGGCCTATTTTTCGAGTGATCTATTGAAAAGAATTCCGGTGTATGATTGGTTACGTATGACGTATTATGCGTGTGACCTATATGACATAATGGCGTCTAAGGCACTCAGATCACGATTAAGATAATATGGCTTAGCAACCAATTAAAACGTACTTTTAACAATTCGATCTTTTATCAGATGGTAGCTCTTTTTTGTTTAACTCTACAGAGTTATTTTCATGTTTTCTTAACCTTATTTTCTCAGAACCGCCCTCTATAATAAACAGCTCCAGTCTTCCAGTTGTTTTCTCCGGCGATTCTCTCACTCTTCAGTGTTCTGCGCGCGGCTATCCTCAACCGGTTATCCGCTGGTACAAGGACGGTAGTTTGGTTCATGAAAATACAAGTCTTCAGTTTTCCTCTCTCAACGAGTCTGACACAGGGTTTTATCAGTGCAACGCATCTAACATTGCTGGAAGTGATACATACGAAGTTGAAGTCCTGGTTAGAGGTAAGGTACCGTTGAGAATCTGTGTAGTTGATAATGTGTAATGTTGATTTTGTAAATAAGCTTTTATGGCATGCAGTATTTTTAATTGAAAATAGCTCTCCTAAACACATTCGGAGAAGAAATTGAGAAGAGCCGTGACCTAATGGCTAATGCGTCCAGTAAGCTCCAGTGTTCGAGCCTTGTCGTCGTGTTTTTCTGTTTCGTTGTTGCTTTTAATTTAATTGTTGTCATGTATCGTGTTATGGTGTCAGTCAAGAAACAGTTCTCGTACAGTACCTCTCTTCAAGGACTGGCTACAAAAAAAACCTCTTGGACTGACCGGCCTGGTAAAAAGAGTCTACACTCATTTTCATTCAGGGGGAAAAGACATATTTCTCGCATTGAATCTGGAATAAAGTGCTGCTGTATGGCCAACCAAGCGTCCGTTTTTGCTTTATGCAATTATCAAACACGAAAGACCATGCTTGACCACATTTCCAAAACAACGAGAAGAGAGTTGAAAATACGACGCGTAGCAGAGTATTTTTTTGACGAACTTCGAACTGCTGGAGGCAATTGAAACCTTTACTCACTCACACCAGGTGCCAAGTGCCAAGTAGAACACAATTCACCTCCATGATCTTCTGTCCTAGGCCGATCTCTTGGTCCTTCATCATCTGCAGCTGCCTCTGTGCATCGTCCAGTGTTTGCTGTTATCGTTTGTTATTGTCCCTGGCTCTAAATTTCAGACATTGTGCATGGCTGTTCTTGCAAGTGCTTATTGATCAGTCCATTAATTCAGTTTTTCCCTAACCATTTACATTCCTTTCACCTATTAGCGGCTTTAACTTTCCTTTCACGATCTTTATAATTATAATGATTTTTACACTTTATTCAAGTATGCTGGATAATCAGCCCAGAAAATTTACGTTAGAACATAAAACGGGGCCCTGTTTTCTTTTCAGAAAGAAGACCAATCATAAACCAGACCATTTTAGCACAAGACGCCGACAAGCTGCTTCAAAAGTGAGTGATAATCTAGACACAACACGTCACATGGAAATTTTCTTTTCTTTTAGTGTATTTACATTAGTATCCGGCAAGCGATAAAAACTCTCCTCAAGTTAATAAACCTGCCTCAGAAACTGCTGTGTCAGAAACTGAACACCATATTTCATTTAGAGTTCGTTTGAAGGTGACTTGCTACAGAGCACACCACCGTCTTTTTGAAAGAGCAGATAACTTTAACAGAACCGAGAATAGGGCCAACGCTCACAATAAAATACTTATCGTACCTCTCTAGTAGTCTTCGGTGGCATCTCGAGCGAACTCGGCCAAACCCTGGTTCGTATTTTGGCGAGCCACAATCAAACCAAAATACCCATGATCAGAACAAACGAGCCTGAAACTCTACGGAAGCGTACCAGAAAGGTACAGTTAGATATTAACCGTACCCAAACATCAGTGACTTGATATCGCAGGACATCTGACGTGACGCGGCGCCTGATTGGCTAATTCAAATTTTGGCTACGGTAAAGAAGAAATAATATATTCTCTTGTTTGGATTGTGCCGTTGGATAAAGCTAATTCTTTTTTTTCTTTAACAGTGATTCAGTTGTCTTTATAGCCCTCCTCACACACGACCTCTTCTCAGGTGACAAGGCGTTCAATATAAAGTTGGTTTGGATGTTACCCAACTATGCGCGCTATCTGAGCCACGAGCCTCGGACAAATGTCACTACTCCCTACCCTGGGGAACATAATTTTGAGGTAGGCTGAGAAATAAGAGAGGAGCTGGGAACAAAGCTGATCAATAAAGAAAAACAGATTTAAATCATTGGCTTTAGTTACTAAGCTTTAGCGTGATTGCATTAAAAAGTATTCCAGTTTTAAAAATGCAAATGTCTCATACAAACGTTTCTCTATTTAAAAGTTCGTACCCCCAGACAAAGGTTTGTCCCCACAGACAAAGTTTGTACCCACAGACAAAAGTTCGTACCCCCAGACCAAAGTTCGTAGCCACAGACAAAAGTTCGTAACTCCATACAAACGTTCGTAGCCCCCTAGACCAGTTTTCAATAGTCAGATGCAAAACATTTTTTTAGGGTGGCCAACTAAAGGGAGAAGAAATTTTATTTAGTTTTTTAAACTTCGGCCATTTCACCATCGACAGGGTAGTTTATCCCATCAGTTGTAAGGACCTTGTTGACACAATGATCCACAGCAGTTTTAATTTTGCTTAACTTTGGTCAGATTGAGCAAATTCAACTTGGGGCATCCGTGGAAATCAATATTACGGTTCAAATTGATCACAAAAGCACACTGTCCGTTGGTAGACACTTCCTGACAATACCGACTTTCCTCATGTATGAACAGCGCATGGCAAATGGTGCAACGAAGATTTTCGTGGGCTCAGTTGAATCGGTCACAGTCAACTTCACAGTGAGAGAAGGTACAAAATCTGTTGACATGGTTTCCATAACCTCCATCGCAGTTATTAATTATGATTGCTCAGATGTAATATATCAAACACGAAAGACTGTGTTTGACCACATTTCCAAACACCGAGAAGAGCGTTGAAAATACGACGCGTAGCGAAGTATGTTTGACGAGCGTCGATGTGTTTGGAAATGTGGTCAAACACTGTCTTGAGTGTTTGATTTTTCTTCTCAATCGGAACTAAAACTTAGGAGAAAAAATCTTTAAAATCTATGGTAATTAAGATTAGATGTCCAAACGTCAAGTTTGAGATCACGTCACTCATATCCTTTAACTTAGTTTAAAAGAAAAGAAAGGGTTCGCCGCAAAATCAATGTAGCTTTCCTAACTGTAAATTCTAAACGTCTTCCTCGAAACTCATCCTCTCCTTCTCAGCAATGCACGTGGTGAAAGGACACTGAAAAATAGGCCTCAGGTAGCGTTATGCAATTTCAGGTAATCTTATGTACTTCTGATTACTTCCTGGCAGATGTTTCCAGAGGATTTCTGATGAACCCACTGTCTGGTGAAGTATACTTTTGTAAAGAGAAGAAAAGGTGAACTTATTAAAATATCTGATGGAATGGCTCTGACAAAATTAAGGCCATTGTGCAAAGAGTTTTGGGTAAACAAAATGAGAAAAACTATTCCCCCTTCTAATAATACCCAAATGTGATCGATGTTTGTTTCTGCCAGTTTAAACTTCCACTATGTGAATAAACTGGCTACCTGCCTCACTTAGTATCGTATAGCCGCTAAAGTTTTTACTACGCTCATTCTTGTTTGTTTCTAGTGATTCTGTTCCCTCGTGCTATGTGTCATTTGATGGTGCTCAGTGGACTGGTTTGTACTCTATATAGCTTTATAATTTAATGAACTATAATTAATTTGAACCTTTTTACGGTATTTAGACGGTCTCAGTGGCTTTTACATCGATCTGACGTAAAAAATGATACGTTCTTTTGAATGAGTGTGGGCCATTGAACGGATGTCCTTTCCAATCAAAACGTCAATCAAGAACAATAAATAGTCCCATTCAAGTAGCTGTGGTAGTCTAACTTTACATTTAAACAAACTAGACACTTAAAGAAGGTTACCGATTTTTAAAATAGCCGGAATGTACATCATGTATGCATCTGCTTTTCGCGGGGGCCTGAAGTTGTAAGTCTTCTAGGATTTCTTTGCGAAGAATGACCAAAGGAAAAAAAAAAAGGAAGAAAAAAAATAGGAGGAACTTACCAAAGCTAAGGCAGGTTTCTACCTTTTAATCTTCAGATTACTTTAGCAAATTCAAAGCGGGTGCGTAATAAGTACTAACAATAATGTCAAAATTTTAAACCTTTCATTTTCCCTTAGGAATAGATTCGCGAGTAAAGATGATTTCTGGAATGATTGTAAGCGGTTTGCACAAAAGGATTTTTGCCGTGACAAGAAATGACCGATGTCACGTGGTCAGTGAGAATGGCATTATTTGGAGTTGCATAACGCCCGAGGAATGGCAACAGGAGTCATCTTCAAAAGATTTTGTGCGTGCTGTCTCAGTTCCAAGAAGCCTTAAATCAGCTCTTCCAGAAAGTCACTTTGTTAACTTGAAAAATGATGGAACAGTTTCTTACGGAGGTAAATATAAAACGACGGACATTAGGCCCAAATTCCTTCAATGAACTGCAAATAAGTTAAATTATTTTAAGTAGGGTTTCTATCAAACAAAGAAATGCGCTGAGATTTAAAACGACATGACTGGCTTCTAAGTTTCAACTGCACTAAAAATACAAAAAGGTGACAATTTTTTGAAGTAAAGGATCTCGTAGTTCGATTCATATCAATAAGGTAAGAAAAAAACCGGCAGAATTCATGACGTAACCTTTTCTTTAATAATCGTTTCCTCAAGCACGTTGTAGTAATTTCAAAACAAATATGTCACCGATTCCACTGTTTCCACATTATTTACTTCCTGTGCAACAACTAATAGGCCATTTCCGAGTTACNGAGAACCTGGAAGATGACGAGTTTGCGCGCCGCTTCAATAGCTTTGCGTCCTCGCTACATTATTTGCAGTGTATTCAGCGTTCTCTTAAAACGCTCTAGAATGCTAATAGTCAACGAGAGTCACCACCACCGTGGTGAGGGCCTGGTATCGTATGGTACCTTGTTGTACATTGCTATATTATATAAACAATAAGTTATTGTGTTTTAAGATGCAGGAGGTGCTCGAATATAATTGTAACTCTAACTTCGTTTCAAGCAGTGGACTCCTTGTTGGCACAGTCTTGGTTCAAGGTTAGTTCACTTAAGATATCTGTACACTGTACACGTGATATCGGTGTCAAACAATAGATACGCAACGTTCTATCAAGTCGCGTTAAATTCACGAGATCTGAAAACACCTCATTGATGACTGCCAGAGCTTGTTTTGTAAGGTGAAAATTTTGGAATAAATGAGTGCGTAGCCATGAATTTTGACATATTACTTGCTACGATTGACACACATATATAGAACGTGACACAGACGTACCACAGATATTTTGGGAGGAAATAAGGATAATCCAAGCAATTCACAATTTTAATCCATGGAAGTAATCAAAGCTAAAACCGGGTTCATAGCAAATTGGGATTTGCCAAGTTAACAAGTTTACCAAACCGGAATTTCAACGCGTACGCCCTTTTAGGAAAGCACTTCGCTTACACACGTTTTCAACAGATTTATCCTGACAACACGTCTCCAAGGCGCGTGGGCCTATTTTTCGAGTGATCTATTGAAAAGAATTCCGGTGTATGATTGGTTACGTATGACGTATTATGCGTGTGACCTATATGACATAATGGCGTCTAAGGCACTCAGATCACGATTAAGATAATATGGCTTAGCAACCAATTAAAACGTACTTTTAACAATTCGATCTTTTATCAGATGGTAGCTCTTTTTTGTTTAACTCTACAGAGTTATTTTCATGTTTTCTTAACCTTATTTTCTCAGAACCGCCCTCTATAATAAACAGCTCCAGTCTTCCAGTTGTTTTCTCCGGCGATTCTCTCACTCTTCAGTGTTCTGCGCGCGGCTATCCTCAACCGGTTATCCGCTGGTACAAGGACGGTAGTTTGGTTCATGAAAATACAAGTCTTCAGTTTTCCTCTCTCAACGAGTCTGACACAGGGTTTTATCAGTGCAACGCATCTAACATTGCTGGAAGTGATACATACGAAGTTGAAGTCCTGGTTAGAGGTAAGGTACCGTTGAGAATCTGTGTAGTTGATAATGTGTAATGTTGATTTTGTAAATAAGCTTTTATGGCATGCAGTATTTTTAATTGAAAATAGCTCTCCTAAACACATTCGGAGAAGAAATTGAGAAGAGCCGTGACCTAATGGCTAATGCGTCCAGTAAGCTCCAGTGTTCGAGCCTTGTCGTCGTGTTTTTCTGTTTCGTTGTTGCTTTTAATTTAATTGTTGTCATGTATCGTGTTATGGTGTCAGTCAAGAAACAGTTCTCGTACAGTACCTCTCTTCAAGGACTGGCTACAAAAAAAACCTCTTGGACTGACCGGCCTGGTAAAAAGAGTCTACACTCATTTTCATTCAGGGGGAAAAGACATATTTCTCGCATTGAATCTGGAATAAAGTGCTGCTGTATGGCCAACCAAGCGTCCGTTTTTGCTTTATGCAATTATCAAACACGAAAGACCATGCTTGACCACATTTCCAAAACAACGAGAAGAGAGTTGAAAATACGACGCGTAGCAGAGTATTTTTTTGACGAACTTCGAACTGCTGGAGGCAATTGAAACCTTTACTCACTCACACCAGGTGCCAAGTGCCAAGTAGAACACAATTCACCTCCATGATCTTCTGTCCTAGGCCGATCTCTTGGTCCTTCATCATCTGCAGCTGCCTCTGTGCATCGTCCAGTGTTTGCTGTTATCGTTTGTTATTGTCCCTGGCTCTAAATTTCAGACATTGTGCATGGCTGTTCTTGCAAGTGCTTATTGATCAGTCCATTAATTCAGTTTTTCCCTAACCATTTACATTCCTTTCACCTATTAGCGGCTTTAACTTTCCTTTCACGATCTTTATAATTATAATGATTTTTACACTTTATTCAAGTATGCTGGATAATCAGCCCAGAAAATTTACGTTAGAACATAAAACGGGGCCCTGTTTTCTTTTCAGAAAGAAGACCAATCATAAACCAGACCATTTTAGCACAAGACGCCGACAAGCTGCTTCAAAAGTGAGTGATAATCTAGACACAACACGTCACATGGAAATTTTCTTTTCTTTTAGTGTATTTACATTAGTATCCGGCAAGCGATAAAAACTCTCCTCAAGTTAATAAACCTGCCTCAGAAACTGCTGTGTCAGAAACTGAACACCATATTTCATTTAGAGTTCGTTTGAAGGTGACTTGCTACAGAGCACACCACCGTCTTTTTGAAAGAGCAGATAACTTTAACAGAACCGAGAATAGGGCCAACGCTCACAATAAAATACTTATCGTACCTCTCTAGTAGTCTTCGGTGGCATCTCGAGCGAACTCGGCCAAACCCTGGTTCGTATTTTGGCGAGCCACAATCAAACCAAAATACCCATGATCAGAACAAACGAGCCTGAAACTCTACGGAAGCGTACCAGAAAGGTACAGTTAGATATTAACCGTACCCAAACATCAGTGACTTGATATCGCAGGACATCTGACGTGACGCGGCGCCTGATTGGCTAATTCAAATTTTGGCTACGGTAAAGAAGAAATAATATATTCTCTTGTTTGGATTGTGCCGTTGGATAAAGCTAATTCTTTTTTTTCTTTAACAGTGATTCAGTTGTCTTTATAGCCCTCCTCACACACGACCTCTTCTCAGGTGACAAGGCGTTCAATATAAAGTTGGTTTGGATGTTACCCAACTATGCGCGCTATCTGAGCCACGAGCCTCGGACAAATGTCACTACTCCCTACCCTGGGGAACATAATTTTGAGGTAGGCTGAGAAATAAGAGAGGAGCTGGGAACAAAGCTGATCAATAAAGAAAAACAGATTTAAATCATTGGCTTTAGTTACTAAGCTTTAGCGTGATTGCATTAAAAAGTATTCCAGTTTTAAAAATGCAAATGTCTCATACAAACGTTTCTCTATTTAAAAGTTCGTACCCCCAGACAAAGGTTTGTCCCCACAGACAAAGTTTGTACCCACAGACAAAAGTTCGTACCCCCAGACCAAAGTTCGTAGCCACAGACAAAAGTTCGTAACTCCATACAAACGTTCGTAGCCCCCTAGACCAGTTTTCAATAGTCAGATGCAAAACATTTTTTTAGGGTGGCCAACTAAAGGGAGAAGAAATTTTATTTAGTTTTTTAAACTTCGGCCATTTCACCATCGACAGGGTAGTTTATCCCATCAGTTGTAAGGACCTTGTTGACACAATGATCCACAGCAGTTTTAATTTTGCTTAACTTTGGTCAGATTGAGCAAATTCAACTTGGGGCATCCGTGGAAATCAATATTACGGTTCAAATTGATCACAAAAGCACACTGTCCGTTGGTAGACACTTCCTGACAATACCGACTTTCCTCATGTATGAACAGCGCATGGCAAATGGTGCAACGAAGATTTTCGTGGGCTCAGTTGAATCGGTCACAGTCAACTTCACAGTGAGAGAAGGTACAAAATCTGTTGACATGGTTTCCATAACCTCCATCGCAGTTATTAATTATGATTGCTCAGATGTAATATATCAAACACGAAAGACTGTGTTTGACCACATTTCCAAACACCGAGAAGAGCGTTGAAAATACGACGCGTAGCGAAGTATGTTTGACGAGCGTCGATGTGTTTGGAAATGTGGTCAAACACTGTCTTGAGTGTTTGATTTTTCTTCTCAATCGGAACTAAAACTTAGGAGAAAAAATCTTTAAAATCTATGGTAATTAAGATTAGATGTCCAAACGTCAAGTTTGAGATCACGTCACTCATATCCTTTAACTTAGTTTAAAAGAAAAGAAAGGGTTCGCCGCAAAATCAATGTAGCTTTCCTAACTGTAAATTCTAAACGTCTTCCTCGAAACTCATCCTCTCCTTCTCAGCAATGCACGTGGTGAAAGGACACTGAAAAATAGGCCTCAGGTAGCGTTATGCAATTTCAGGTAATCTTATGTACTTCTGATTACTTCCTGGCAGATGTTTCCAGAGGATTTCTGATGAACCCACTGTCTGGTGAAGTATACTTTTGTAAAGAGAAGAAAAGGTGAACTTATTAAAATATCTGATGGAATGGCTCTGACAAAATTAAGGCCATTGTGCAAAGAGTTTTGGGTAAACAAAATGAGAAAAACTATTCCCCCTTCTAATAATACCCAAATGTGATCGATGTTTGTTTCTGCCAGTTTAAACTTCCACTATGTGAATAAACTGGCTACCTGCCTCACTTAGTATCGTATAGCCGCTAAAGTTTTTACTACGCTCATTCTTGTTTGTTTCTAGTGATTCTGTTCCCTCGTGCTATGTGTCATTTGATGGTGCTCAGTGGACTGGTTTGTACTCTATATAGCTTTATAATTTAATGAACTATAATTAATTTGAACCTTTTTACGGTATTTAGACGGTCTCAGTGGCTTTTACATCGATCTGACGTAAAAAATGATACGTTCTTTTGAATGAGTGTGGGCCATTGAACGGATGTCCTTTCCAATCAAAACGTCAATCAAGAACAATAAATAGTCCCATTCAAGTAGCTGTGGTAGTCTAACTTTACATTTAAACAAACTAGACACTTAAAGAAGGTTACCGATTTTTAAAATAGCCGGAATGTACATCATGTATGCATCTGCTTTTCGCGGGGGCCTGAAGTTGTAAGTCTTCTAGGATTTCTTTGCGAAGAATGACCAAAGGAAAAAAAAAAAGGAAGAAAAAAAATAGGAGGAACTTACCAAAGCTAAGGCAGGTTTCTACCTTTTAATCTTCAGATTACTTTAGCAAATTCAAAGCGGGTGCGTAATAAGTACTAACAATAATGTCAAAATTTTAAACCTTTCATTTTCCCTTAGGAATAGATTCGCGAGTAAAGATGATTTCTGGAATGATTGTAAGCGGTTTGCACAAAAGGATTTTTGCCGTGACAAGAAATGACCGATGTCACGTGGTCAGTGAGAATGGCATTATTTGGAGTTGCATAACGCCCGAGGAATGGCAACAGGAGTCATCTTCAAAAGATTTTGTGCGTGCTGTCTCAGTTCCAAGAAGCCTTAAATCAGCTCTTCCAGAAAGTCACTTTGTTAACTTGAAAAATGATGGAACAGTTTCTTACGGAGGTAAATATAAAACGACGGACATTAGGCCCAAATTCCTTCAATGAACTGCAAATAAGTTAAATTATTTTAAGTAGGGTTTCTATCAAACAAAGAAATGCGCTGAGATTTAAAACGACATGACTGGCTTCTAAGTTTCAACTGCACTAAAAATACAAAAAGGTGACAATTTTTTGAAGTAAAGGATCTCGTAGTTCGATTCATATCAATAAGGTAAGAAAAAAACCGGCAGAATTCATGACGTAACCTTTTCTTTAATAATCGTTTCCTCAAGCACGTTGTAGTAATTTCAAAACAAATATGTCACCGATTCCACTGTTTCCACATTATTTACTTCCTGTGCAACAACTAATAGGCCATTTCCGAGTTACGTTGTGCCTCTATTTCAAAACGAGTCTTCGTGCAAAACCTTTCATATGAAAATGAGTTTGATTTGCATGGAAAAGATCCTGTAGGGGGAACTCATTTTCATATGAATGGTTTCGCTCAAAGACTTGTTTTGACACAAAGGCAAAATGCAGCACGGAAATGGCCTATTAGTTAGTTAGTGGGATAGACCGCCTGTAGGGGATTCTAGGTTGGAATCTTTGCATGTTTTGTTAACTAATCGACAAGCCTCGTTAAATTTAATTGTCTCCCTCCACCCAGCTGTGCAACTGGGTAACAGGGTATTGTTCGAGGGCAATCCTCTAAAATCCTAGGATCTCGTGCATGATGGATTAGAATAGTCCTATCCCCTTCTCAGACCTTTCTATCCCAGCGTTTCTGTAACCTCCTCTCGAACGTTGGAATGTTGATGTTACTATGGTTACTGCTTTCAGGATCAGGGAGAGGTCTACACAGGAAGGATAAATTAGGAGTGTGGAGGTTGGTGGCGTTATGGGACTGTTCATAAGTGATTCTGGTCTATATGGATCATACATCGTTATTTAATGATGGGACAAATATCAGTATCAGTACATTTGTCGCACGGTTGCATATAACTTAACTGCAATGTCTAGAGGGTCGATTTTTCATTTTTAACGTACGCCTGTGACGGGCCTGCTCTACTTACCGTTGTGGATCCCTCGTCAAAAGCATCAGAGGTTCCGGTTTGCTACGTGGCCTGAGACTAGTCTGTTCTGCGCGCATGCTTTGACGTAGAGCACGTACTTCGTGTTAGATATAGCTGCTGTGTACCCGCTATTGGAACTCAGCGTGCTTTTCTATATATAGAGATGCACGACTGGCTCTTGAATTGCCCCTTCTTAAATGTAAATAATTTCACTTTTTCGTGTTGTATTCTAAACTAAATAGAAGATGGTGTTCCTATGTTTTATAAGAAAGTAATGCACTTTTGAGGTCTAGAAAAAACTGCTGAAAGAACTCGCGTCTCGCTCATACGTCCAATAGCAGTTTTTCTAGACATCAAGCGTGCAATATTTTCTTAGAGTACATGAAACACCATCTGCTATTCAGTAAATACATTTCCGGTGGGCTAGCCTGCGAACAGATTGTCATGCGTTGAGGCAGGAGCAAGGTCGATCGATGAGGAAAGCCGTGAGTCTGCTGCTCCTGCCACAACGCTCGCAGGCTACCGCTGGGCAGACTAACGAGTGGAGTTCGAAGAATTCTAAATTAAATTTCAATCATTTTATGAAGTTAACTTTTCATAGAGAATGTAGGATCTTTTTCTCGTATAATGCTTCATCTACAGTGAATGAATCACATTTACTCGTAAAAAGTTTTATACTTTTATTATTCATGTTTGTTTTCTCGTCTACCAAAAGATATCTTAACTTTTTTTTTTCTTTAATTCTGCTCTTCTAAAGGGGAACCTCATATACATGTGTTTTAAAAAGTAAATGAGAGATCGTTGGAATCTATATTTCTTTGCAATCTTGAGTTTTTCGTTGCCGTAGTGTTTGGCGAGATCATGAGGTCCCTAAACGGTGCACAAATACACTCTTGTAATGTGCTTATCTTAAAGTCTTTTCCAAAATAATGCATTTGTCCTGAGAAAAAACACTTTGTAGTTTCTTCACTCATCGATAGTTACACGAGGAAAACCATTCAGGATCGTTTAGCTTTAGAAAACGTTTTTAAAAGTTAGCTCAAAGGATCGGCTACTTCTAGACCCTTCTGAAATTTCTAAAGCCGGGACTGATGCAATGATAACTTAGCTTTAGAGGGCTTACCTCAGGAAAAAGGCCTGTAAGTTACCTTCTCCCTCTCTTGGTTGTAAATAAAACCTGTTATTGCAACAGGGCCTAAAAGTTGTGCAGTGGTAATATATGTTACCTGCATTGAAAAAAAATGTCGTGCCACACAAGTGCAACAATTACTGACGGTCGCGCCCATTGTTTCTGCGCATCCTTACCGCGCACATTATTCATGTTACAACGACGGGCCACGTCACGAAATACAAGCAAGTCTACAGACTTGTTTGTATTTATATATTTTTTATAAGGCTTGGTGCCGGTTGCGCTAATTTCATCCGCAATTACTCTTAGATGGTCGAAGACCCCCTAATTTCTTTTCATAGATCATTTCCTTTACTGATTTTCTCCATTTTAATTACAAACAGACAGAGAAAAAAATCTGTACGTGAGAAATAATAAATATTTCGTCTTTTCTGCCCTCGTGGGACTGAAGTTTTCTTCAAATATGGAGGGGCAACACTGCTTGCAATGTATGTTTTTTAATTCAAGGCCTATTTTACCTCAAGGAACGACATCAGCTGCAAATGTTTACTTAATAGACTTAGTTGTGTTGAACTGAGTACGTTTACCTGATGTAAATGTCATTAATGCTGCTTCTGTTATTGCTGATAGTTTGTAGGCTAACTCGTCTTAAAATAATGAAAGCNATGTTAGATGTACAGCGACGGGCCACGTCACGAAATACAAGCAAGTCTACAGACTTGCTTGTATTTATATATTTTTTATAAGGCTTGGTGCCGGTTGCGCTAATTTCACCCGCAGTTACTCTTAGATGGTCGAAGACCCCCTAGTTTCTTTTCATAGATCATTTCCTTTACTGATTTTCTCCATTTTAATTACAAACAGACAGAGGCAAACGTTTACTTAATAGACTTAGTTGTGTTGAACTGAGTACGTTTACCTGATGTAAATGTCATTAATGCTGCTTCTGTTATTGCTGATAGTTTGTAGGCTAACTCGTCTTAAAATAATGAAAGCTTCTAAAATCGCACACGGTCTTCAATGAGCGTTATCTCGAAAACAAGCACGGTGACTCCCCATTGTTTTCGCTTACTGCATGGCAATTCAAATTTTAAACACGTTTGTACGTGGGAACGTTTTTGTAGTTCTAATCAAAACATGGCATACCCTTGTTGCTATTTCAAACCTGGTGATACTGATAAAATTTCATGTTGTTTGAATTTAATGTTTCAGTGAACAAAAAGCATTTTCAATTAGCAATATTCGGCCCTATCGGCCTTTCGAATCTAGTATTTACGAGACGTCTCCGTCATTTCCTAATCTTCTTAACTCATGAAAAATGACTTGTTCATTGAGATCCTCTAGTGTTTTTAATACATTTACAAGCACGTAGGTGACGAAAACCGGGGCAGAACTATCTTTAAAAATATATTACCAGTTGAACACTAAATTAATAATTCGCCCCATTGGTTTAGTTCTAAGTGCCAAATTGTCAATTTAAACACTAACCTTTTAAAGCTGTTGTCGAGCTTTGTTTAAATAATACTTTACAAACGAAATAAACAGAACTGTTTCGCTATAAATTAATGGGGCTCAAAAATATGTGTTCGCTAAATTAATTTCTTTTAAATTCCAAAACTCACCGTTACTCACTCATACAGCTGTAGCAAAAAAGTAATTAAATTGTAGTCTAACTTTAATGTTAAATTACTGGGCATGATAGACAAAAAAAAAAAAAAAATACATTACAAGCGAAAGGAAAATAACGCTTACGTAAGCATTAGACCTTGAACTAGAATTTAAAACGTGTTGATAAATTGCTCCTTTTTGTTTTAATCAAAAGAAACATACATGTAATAGGCTTTTGACAGAAACTAATTAAAACGTTTTTCCGCTTAACTGCTTGTCTAATCTTTTCGTTAATAATTCATTTTGTTTCGCCTTCTCAGCAAAATATTCTATACGCAAGGACTTTATTTTGAAATAGCACAGTAGCCAAAGCTCAAATAATATAACTAATCTCGTCCTGGAATATACAGCCAAGAAGAGGCAAAAAAAGCTGGGATAATGTTAATTGTCTCAACTTGAACTTTGGCCAAAAAAGCTGGAAAGCTGGTATGATTTTTGTTTCCAATATTCCACCGACAGTCGGTTTGTTAATATTTGGCACACAGTCGCGAACATTTTAACATTTTAATTAAACTAATGTATTCTTTGTTATGCAAGAACATTTTAAGTCTGCCCCAAGACAGCTGTCAAAATATATTTTTAATATATACAACGGACCAATTGACCACTGCGTGATGTTTATCTTACAACTGGTTGTAGAAATAACTTTTATATCCTCTCTGTCGAAAGACTTGATAAATTTTAACTGGATTCCTCCCTTTCCCAAAATTAAATTAAATTATTTACGAATGTTCTCACTTGGAAATGTTATGGCTGCCCTTTAAAGTGTTTTTGTGTTATATTAGAACCAATCAAGTAAGAATTAATGAAAAAGCTCACATTTTGGGTAAATTATTATTTATTCAGGAACTTTCATTTAGAGCATTTGATTGATGTCTACTACATTTGAAGTTTTTTTATAGTTTTTCCTTTGAGAAAATGCAGCCAGAAATTCAGCCAACATCTTTGAATGCGGAGCTCCTTAAATTTTCACGAAGTTACTGAGCCACGATATTCAAAATCCAGATCTGAGCAAAAAGGAAATTGAACTTCATTTAAAGTTTCGGTCGTAAAAATGGACAATGCCACTAACTCTTCGGTCACTGGTTCCAAGGGAGAGAGTTTTGAACTGATAATCACAAAAACCTCGATTTGTATGTTCGTTCTCGTTTTGTCCTTAATTGAAAACATTGCGGTTCTTGTGATACTAAAACAGAACTGTGGAAATCGAATGAGAACTGCTAATAGCTTTTTTATCGCAAACATGTCAGCAGCCGACGTCCTCTTTGCCGCGCAGAATATACCACATGCATATAACAATTATATCCTGAAGGGCCGATGGATTCTTCTGGGAAACATTGGAATGGTTTTCTGCAAGATCGACGTTTTCTTTTCTCTCATTTCCATGGTGACCACAAATCTTACCATCTTGGCCATCGCTGTTGATCGAGTGTTTGCCGTGTACGTTCCCTTCAGAAAAATTATCACTCGAAGAGTTTGCCTCTCTATTATTTTCCTGACATGGTTCATTTCCACCTTATTCGCCTCTCCCATGCTGCATTATGCTGATTTGAAGAGCAAAGGCGAAGACTTCATAATCTGCAGCCTCACGAACGTAGAAGTTTTGAAAACGTGGTATACGGTTTTGGCGGGAATTTTAGCAACGACACTCATCACAATGCTAACTTTGTACACTGCCATTGGAGTGAAACTTGGGCGCCGAAAATTACCTGGCAACGCTAGCCAACGAGGCAACAGACGGAGAGAAAAGCGCAATCGCGACATTTTCAAGATGCTCATCACGCTAATAATTGTGTTTCATGTGTGCTCGTTACCGATTTTCACTCTACAGTTGTCCTACACTCTCGGATTCTATGAGCTATTGAAAATAAACCAGATTCGTTTTATTGCCCTTCTGTTGTTCTTCTTGAATGGCGCAATTAATCCCATAATTTACGTCACTTTTAATGGGAGCTTTCGCGATGGTGTGAAGGCGGCTCTGCCAAAGTGCTGCAAATTCTCCAGAAGTGTTGTTTACACTGTTGACAGACATGCAGGCACAAGTAGGAGAAGCGCAGACAGCGGAAATTCTGGAAGGTCTTCGACTCAGCTTTGAATGGAAAAATCAGAGAAAGGTCTGCATGAAGTAAAACGACCTTTGCATCTATGAGTGCCGTAAGCAACCAGAACCATTGAAACTAATAATGATTCACTTTGTTCCCTAACTGCAAGTGAGAGCGAAATTCATTGTACTTTATAACAGCTTAAGACAGTGGTCATTTGTCCTGTAGCGCTCAAACGGTATAAATGCAAAGAGCCTATAACATTTACTCCATTGACAAGGACAAAGATGACGGCTAAAAATTACATCCATTTGAGCTCGGTTTTTATTCAGATTCCTTTTTCTTATTGATTTACATGTAAAACAACTGGCAAGACATCGCATCATCTACAGTATGGGTATGTTAGACCCTATATTACGAACTCACAATATGACCAGTTCACAGTTGATTGCTCAGTCGGCATAATCGTGGGCGTTGTTTTTAACATCGAATTTGTGGTAGTAGATATAATATTATGTATGTAGGAAGAGTTTATCATGTAAATCGTGATTTTAATCTTACTGCAAGATTTAGATCAGTACTTCTTCTATAAACACAGTCTAGAACAAAAAGCGCAGCGCCAAAAAAAAAAAAAATTTGAACCTCTTTGTTGGATAATTTAAATGCGCATAATAACTTCTCTTTTTCCTGACAGTTATCACTTATTCCTGTCTGCCTTGAAGATGTCATCGACAGTCTTTCCCTTCGTTTTCGACGATTTCCATAATGTATTATATGGGGAACTAATTGTTTGACACTTCTAGTAAAGTAGCGCGAAGCATTGTAGTATAGTGAAGTGCAGTGTACTTTTTTCATTGTTATCTCCTGTGGTCTTAATTATACTATATTGTCTTGTTGTCAATAATAATAATAATAATAATAATAATAACAATAATAATAATAATAATAAACATTTCTAGTGGCTGCAGCTCCGTTAGCTTTGAGTGGTACGTCTTTTTTTCTTTACAACTATAATTGTTAGTGTAAACATAAGGGCATAAGTGCAAGCACAAACCGACATGCACAAGCGAGTGGATTCCTTGAACAATTATGATCAACACTACATGATGGCAGCTCAATATCAAATTTTAGGGGGTTTTTTTGGGATCGCAACATCATTAAAGAATGTCGCGATAAGGTGAAGCTTAAGGTTCTCGTTGAAATAACACGGGAAGTAAAGAAGACGCCATGAATAAAGGCTCCTCTTTTTGTAATTCATTGTACTTCGATTTCTCTCAGGTGCACACTCAGTTGGGTACTGGGAATTTTGCTTGAGATTTATACTTGTATTTATGTTACGATGGTGACCCTGACTTAAAAAGGAAATTGTCTTTTTTTTTCTAAATTCTGCTGGTAAACAAAGTTTATTTTGGCAAGATGCGTCATTGGAGGTATGCCAAACACGGCCCCCAGCCTAGCTAATGTCTTCTCTTGTTTTAGATACCTCCCGCCGCCTCCCATTCAAAATCAAGAGACTTAAAAAATGATAGCTAATCATTCTCTGGCCAAGATTGATTTGAATGGCTTTCTTATTTGTTCCCTTAATGTGGATGTGCCCATTTTGTGTATTTTGTCCGACAGCTGATTCAAGCAAACAGCTGAACAGAATCGAGTTTCTTCGTTCGAAAGACACTCGATAGCTAGCAAAATGAATATCGAGAGTGCAACGAAACTCAGTGCCAACTCCACCATGAATTCCACCTCAGATTCGTCAAAAGGTTCACATGAATCACTAACACAAAGAAAGAATATTACTGTGTGGGTGATTTTCCTGGTGTTTGCGTACTATTTGGCGATTCTTCTCTCGTTGGTCGGTAACATAGTCGTCATCAGAGCTGTTAAAAGGATTGGAGGGGCATTGCGAAGAAAAGTACACTATCTCTTCATAGTAAACTTGTCCGCAGCCGATCTTCTCTTTGCTGCCGAGACGATTCCCATGATATGTGTGCATATGTTATTAGGCGGCGAATGGCTTATCAAAGGTCGTTTTGGTAATTTCCTTTGCAAGTTCGACGTGTTTCTCTCAGCAGTTTTAATTCTTACATCGAATCTAACGATTTTATCCATTGCTGTGGAGAAGTACTTTGGGGTCTTTTTTCCACTTAAGACGATGGTTTCGAAGAAACGGGCGTATTTCATTATCGCAGCCACGTGGATCGCAAGCGCAGTTTATGCCACTCCACTGTTTTTCTTCGCCTATCTCGAAAAAAGTCCCGATGGTAAAGTCACCTGCTATGTTTGCCCGAACTGCGAAAAGGTGAGACGATGGTTTATATTTCAAACGGTTCTGTTGGCTGGCGGATTTGTTACAACATTGGCTTCATATTCAGCAATTGGGATTAAGATATCGCTCCGAAAAGCGCCTGGAATTCAACTGTCTGGAGTGCAACGAAACGGACGAGTCAGAAAGCACAAGGCGATAAAAATGTTGGCAATGCTGGTGTTTGTATTTTACGTTTCCTTTATACCATTTTGGATTTATCAGCTTTCCCTTCTCTTCAGCTTCCACGAGAAACTGGGTCTATATTACAGCATCCTTTCACCTTTCTTAATGCTTTGCAACGGAGCTGTGAACCCCGTCATTTACAGCGTGTATAACATGGATATTCGCCGAGAGTTTGTGTCCTTATTTACCTGTCACTGTAAATCACCCTGTTCAGCGGTGACGTTTCAAACAAACCATGTGAGAAGGGGAAATAGTCAGAAAAAAGGTTGTACAATTGAAAGAAAAAAGATTTATGTTCATAATAACAACTTGTATGAAGAGACACGTCTGTAACTATGGTGACTTTAGAACATGCACTTATTACTCAGAGGTGATAAATATTGTAACGTCAGCAAGTTGATTCGATTTTTCGTCAAAACCTGCAAACGTAAAATTAGCGTTGGAAAGCCACAAAGGATCCGGAGGGTTTTGATAAGATAACTGACACGTGGCAAAAGCGAACTTCAATTTTGCTGTCACCTCACAGCCCATTCTGAGAAATGATAAATTGTGTGTTGACTTCAGTGTCTTCAGTTGCCGACGACTGACAAAATACAACTGATAATAATATCAAGCGGTCCAACATTTTTCAAGCGTCTAATCTCTCTACGTGCTGGAGATCGAGAAAGAAAAAAAAAAGTGAATTTGAATGAAAAATCGGGTCGAAGACTGATTGAATTTAAATATGTATTTTGTATACTTTCCACGTTGCTGTACATTTCATTTAAATTTAGTCCTCCTTTCATTTGGATCAGGAAATTATAAAAGTCATAACAATTACCCAATATCAAACTTGAAGTTTCCAGAATATGCTCAGTTTAAACCTTTTTTGTATTGGAGCAGATCAAACAAACATGTCATCAGTGCAGCAAACAAAACCACAGTAAAAATAGAAAATGGTTATTTAACTGATCTTTGCCATTTTGTTTCTCTTGTACAGCTCAATAGTTGCCGGAAAAAGAAACTATCTGATTACAATAAATAACCTTTTCGCGAAAGAAGAACCGATTCCACTCCCTTCATGCAAGACTTCGGAGAACATTTATACCACGCAAACACTGACAATGACAATAGCCAATCAGAAGCCGGTAAAGTAGGCAGGACTCATTTTGTAATCATTCTTATGACGTCACTGATCTAAGTTGGTTGTCCGGATACTTACTAAGTGCTTACATAGATTGTTCTTGCTGCGTTTCATCGCGATTGAGCTTTAGTTTTAAACTTTGTAAATTTAAATCCAGAAGGGAAAGTAGCCTTCACTTAGGTGCTAAGGAAGTAAATAAAATCCTCTGTCCTCACAAACTATTGTTGCTTTTTCTTTGTTTTTAAGAGCTATGAATTGTTAACTTTCATTTAGACGACTGGTCAACGGAAGCCTGAGTAATTCTGAAGTATAATAGAACTAACCAACTACGAAGTGAAAGTAAGATAGAGTTTATTACCAAAATGCCTTCTTTGTCGCTCTGTCAATTATCTTATTCACAAGGCACATACATGTCAGAATCCCGTCACAACACCAAGGTAATCAGTTCAAAATATAATTTGTAAGATCGCCATTGTGTAGTTGCGCAACTATGGTGAAATAAACCTCACTTCCCGTCAAAAAACGAGGCTGGAGTTTATTGGGCTTTATAGACTATCTCTTGAAGCTGATCATGATAAACTAGGAAGTGTGGTTTTCCTTTATGCGACGGATTTGTAACAGTTCCCGTTATGCAAG